GGCCTGGCGGCCCGCTGTGCGCCTCAGCCCTCTTTTTCACACCAGTTTCTTTGTTTCTCTTAAATGTCTCCGGGTTTTGAAAGACCAGTGAAGTTTTGAACACAGCAGATCCCTATAACCGTGCTGTCCGTGGTGTGTATAATCCCGGTTTTCAAGTTCGTGGCTTTATAACTTAAGTTTTCACAAGTAGCCGCTTCCTTTCGCATCGGCCGTGTTAGGTAAGTATCTCCGAGTGGTGGCAGATGAGGCTTGTGCTCAGGTCCTCAGCTGCCTTTGCTAGGCTGAGCATGAGCTAGAGGGGCTCGGGGGGGGGGCATACCCCCTTCATCTGCACCACAAAGCCCTGCACCCAGGTCTCCGAAATTCAGGTAATCCTGAGTCGTGCTTGTGTGCATCCAGTTTCAAGGTCTGTACCATCAGCTTTGCATTGCTGCTTGGCTCCTCCATCTTGTCAGGAGGAGTGCTAAATTGACTTTGATACGTAAGTACAAAGTCTAAAGTGCAGCACTGTCCTGCAAGCAGATATGGTGTGCGCACATATTCTCACTAGCTAATATAATATTAAATTTGTTTTGTTAACTTCCTGTCTGAAATACATGTCTTGGGATTTTTGTGGTGTTCTGTCTGTAGCAATGGCTTCGGGAACAGCACTGATTTATGATGAGGAGATGACCACTCACAAGCTACTTTGGAGTGAGTAAGTCACTGCCATTGTTTTTATGAATAATTTCTTACCACGTCATTTGAGAGAAGTGCAAAGTAAATGCAGGTTTTGTAAATGTAATAGGAAACACCTAGTGTAATTTTCCTAGTAAATAGGAAGTCTTTCCATTTGGAGAAAAGTTTTTATTTTATTCCCAGTTTGCATCCAGATGCTGTAATGATAATCTGAAACTGGATTTGAGGTGCCGTAGGCCTCCAGTCTGGCAGGCCTTAACAAGAAGTGTTAGCTTTAGGCATCTGAGTAGCCCCCTAAATAATGTATTTTAAGTTAAGTTGTTTATAAAGCTAAAGTATCATTTATCTTGTAGATATGATATATATTTATGAGTACATGTAGATATACTCACTCAGATGAAGGCTGACAATTAAATTTAGTTAGAAATTGGTGTATGACACTTGCTTAAATTTGCATAAATTAGACCAGTACCTTCGCAGTGCTCACAGTACCAGCCCACGCTTGTTTTCTCTCCCAAACCCACTTCTCCTCTGTTCCCCTTCATTGTAATCTACAGCTTTTCATTTCAGTGTTCCTGTGTCTGTAGTTAAGCATTGCTACTTTGAGTGGTGAGAGAGCAAACAAAAAATGATGCTGTTGTGTTTCTTTTTCATTTAAGAACCATACATATTTTTCAGCTTGCATATTTTAGAACCAATTTTTAGCTCAATTCCAAAGCAAAAAGTATTTAAAGATTATATTTTTCTTTTACTTTCACATGTCTCTCTCTGAGGGTAATGAATCTGCTTACAATGGGAAGTTAAAAGCTAGGCATTATGAAGTGTATGTGTTATCTGTGCTAGTATGATTTTATAGTAATACTGTTATTGTTTATTTTTAGTCCTGTTTGTGATATTGAAGTGCCAGAAAGGCTGTCCTCCTCCTATGAGCAGCTTAAGTGTTACCATTTGGTGGAAAGATGTGTCCATGTGCCTGCCAGAGAAGGAAGCGAGGAGGAGATCCTCTTAGTTCACAGGTCTGAAACTTGCTTTCATCACCATTCAGATTAATTCAATGAAATAACAAATCTCATACTCCCAGGTCATAATTCACTCAATTTGAAAAGGTCTGCTCCAAAACTCAGTGACTTGCAGTAATTTCAATGGAAAATGCATCATACTCGAAGTTAGACAAATGATGTTGAGTATAGTGTAGGTGCTGAAGTATGAATCTGCTATTCCACTAAATCCCTATTTTCACTCTTTGGGTTCTTAAGCAATGAATGCTGATTTATACATAGGATCAGAAGTAAACTTCTAATAAAAATTGTGAAGAGACTTCAAAATGTGTAGAAAAATTAGTATTTCTTTATGTCGTGGTTTAAGTCTAGCCAGTAACTTAGAACCGCGCAGCCATTTGCTCACTCCCCACTTCTTCCTCCCCCTGCTCCTGGAGGGATGGGGAGGAGAATCAGAGGAATGCAACTCCCACAGGTTGAGATAACAGCACTCCAGTAACTAAGGTATAATACAAACCACTACTGCTACCAATAATAATGATAAGGGAAATTACAACGGGAGAGGACACAACCGCTCACCACCCACCGACCAATACCCAGCCTGACCCAAGCAGCGATCTGGGCCTTCCGGGTAACTCCCCCCAGTTTATATACTGGGCATGACGTGCTGTTGTATGGAATACTCCTTTGGCCAGTTTGGGTCAGGTGTCCTGTCTCTGCTTCCTCCCGGCTTCCCCTCCTCCCTGGCAGAGCATGAAACTGAGAAAGTCCTTGGTCAGAGTAAACATTACTTAGCAACAACTAAAAACATCGGTGTTATCAGTGTTGTTCCCAGGCTGAAAGTCAAAACCACCTCACTGCACCAGCTACTGAGAAGGAGAAAAAATGACTGCTACAGCTGAACCCAGGACACTTCAGAAAGATAAAAACTTCCTCTTTCTCCCAAGTGTCTTTGAGATAGAGCAAATTGAACAGAGAAACTTTGCAGTGCAGCTAATTCTGCGCGGGGGGGGGGAGTGGGGGTGTTCAGGGAACAGCCGCTTGCCCATTCTGAAGTCATGGCAATGAAATCTGCTCTAGCATTTTTCACCTCAGTGTGATGATTCTGTATCCAGCTGCAGATGGTTCTGCGTGTTGCTTGTGCACTCATTTGCCCTTGTCAGGGAGCATGAGGGCAGTGTTCTGAGGGGCAAGGGGAGTCAGGAGGAGAGCATGATGACATCCAAGAACCCTTACTTTCATAGTGCTCCTTAGTTTTTTCACTATACCCTGCAACTGGCATTCCAGAGTACCTATTGGAGTTGCAAAGTCTCACAGATAACCCCCTTTTAACATGTTCTGCTACTTTTCGTTACATTTCACGTTTAAAAAACCCTTTATAGTTGCTTAATGAAGTGTTTCATTAACTTCTCTCTCCTCTGCAGTTCAGAACATTTGGAAGTGGCAAAAAGCACCCAAACAATGAATGAAGAGGAACTGAAAAAAGTCTCTGGAAATTATGATGCTTTCTTCTTTCATCCGGTGTGTAAGTTAAATTCATAGAATCATAGAATAGTTAGGGTTGGAAAGGACCTTAAGATCATCTAGTTCCAACCTCCCTGCAGGGACACCACATGCTAAACTATGTTGCCCAAGGCTCTGTCCAGCCTGGCCTTGAACACTGCCAGGGTTGGAGCATTGCTTCCTCTGTGGGGAGTTACAAGTATTTGTGTTACTGCACCCATTCAAGTGGCATTTTCCTAAGTAGGGCAAAATTTGCAATACATTTTCTTGCTATTTAAATCGACTTGCATTTATTTATGATGTTATCTGTTTCAAGTTTAGTATAATGCTGTAATTTAGATTGGCTAAGTGTCCTGTCGTCTGTTCTTTAATTATATCATGGCAGTATAGCTCACTACCCAAATTTTAGCTCTATTTTTGACGCTTAATGTCACTGTAGACCATTAGTGACGTACAAATCCTATTTTGGTAACAGTTGCTCTTGAATGTTGTGCCAGGTAATGCCACGTGTTTCATGTTTTGTCTCTGTAAGATTTCATTCTTTACTCTGAAAGATGCCATGTTATTCCATTAGTCACTTCAATATGTCCGTCCCATGTTTCTTAACTGCTCCAGAGAGAACATCCTTAAAAAGGATAAGGTGATTACAGGTAAATCTAGTAAAAAGCATATTGGAATCTGTGTTGTAAAATAATACTTTCAACTATCTGCACACAACCTCAGTTGGGCAGAATTATCTCCAGACAATTTGCTGTTGGGGTGCAAAAGCATGTCACGTGATTAATTTAAATAAGCTGATTAGTGATTGATGGCAACTATGAGTTTCTCTCTTTTAGAACACTTACCGCTGTGCCAGACTAGCGGTAGGAGCGACTTTGCAGCTGGTGGATGCTGTGATGTCAGGAATAGTGTGCAATGGAATGGCATTAGTAAGGTAAGAAACTAGGTGAGAGAGTTTTCACTTCTTACCAAAAATTCTTTTGTTGTAACTATTTAAAACTTTGGTTTAGACCTCCAGGTCACCACAGCCAGAGAAATGCAGCTAATGGATTCTGTTTGTTCAACAATGTTGCTATTGCAGCAGAACATGCAAAACTGAAATATGGTCTACAGAGGTAAGTGCATGGTTGGCTCTAAGAGAAGCTTTTCATACTGCAGTATGGCATTCAGATAACTCTGACATAGTACTGGTTTAGATTAATGTCTAGGACTTTCTGGGCATCATATACATTTTGGGTCAGAAAATAATATTCATCTATACATCCTTTAGATTAAAATGCTGTGGTGGTTCTGCTGAATGTTTTCTTTTACTGGTCTATGCAGAATCCTAATTGTTGACTGGGATGTGCACCATGGGCAAGGAACTCAGTATATATTTGAAGAGGATCCAAGGTTTGAACAATTTTATTTTTTTAATATTAGCTGGTAAAAGATTGCTTGTCTCTGTAGAGAATAAGATTTCTTAAATTTCTAAAACTAGAATCTTGCAAAACATTCTCCTTGCTGTTTTAATCACTGTTGTTTTCTACTTGTTATAAAACAGAGGGAAAAATATAATGAAAAGAGAAATGTGTAAATCTGTTCTACTTTAAAGAGTAGCAAACACAAAATGACTGATATGATTACCTTGGTTTGCCAGTAATAAGATCTCTTCATGCCAGTATTCAGGTAGTACACCTATTCTCTGTATTCACAAATTTCTCAGTTAAAGTATTCAAGTGGTAGTTCGATTAAAATACATGAGCTTTATATTGTTCTCAGAAAAGCCACAGAAGTAGGTTCTAGACAGGAGTCTGCTCTTCTGAAAATGCCCTGTCTTTGAGCTGAATGGAGTGCATTCATACAAGAAATTTTTAGCAGGTTAATTTTTAGGTTAATTTTAGCAGGTTAATTTTTATGGTTTTATGGCCATAAAAATTTTCCCATAATTTTTAGGTTAATGTTAGCCGTTTGAAACTATGCTAAGTTTCACAGTCCAAGTCCATTAAAAGGACTAAATAGAAAAGACAACTCTATTTTATTTCTTTCAGTCAATGCAGTCGCTGGGTTCAGGATATAAAGTCAGTTTCAGAATCTTTTTGTCAAGCTGATTTTTTTTTTTTTTTATATATATCCTTCAGTGTTTTGTATTTTTCCTGGCATCGCTATGAACATCAGGAATTCTGGCCATCGCTCAAAGAATCTGATTATGATGCTGTGGGTCTCGGAAAAGGAAAAGGTTTTAACATAAATTTGCCTTGGAATAAGGTAAACGTTGTTTACAGCACAATAATGCAAAGACAGTAGCTTTGTATCTCATGCTTTACGTAATGCTTTGTGAGAAGTGCACCGCTTTGCTTCCTTGGCAGATGTCTTAGCACAGTGTACATCCTACCTGACATTGGAATGTCTGCTAAAAAATATGGCTCAGAATGTTAAAAAAAAAAGAAGGAAAAAAAAAAGGAGGAGATAAACATATGTGCATATTTGTTTTTTCTTTAATATCTTGCCTGGCCATCAAATCAGAAAGTGTTTCAGAGGATGATTACATCCATCCTTGTTAAGCAGAGAACTGAAACTCAGACTTCAGTGGATATTAATACATCTTACTTAAACTGGGTTTGTTTTACCTGACCTCATAATGTTCCCTTATCTTTAGCTTTCCATACTATCTTTCCTTAATCTTGAAATACCTTAGAAAATTTGTTATTCTAACAGAAAAATATGTCCTTATTTCTGACATTTTGCAGGTTGGGATGGGAAATTCAGATTATCTTGCTGCATTTTTCCATGTGTTGCTTCCAATGGCCTTTGAGGTAATTTGTTTTCTGCTCTGCTACTTGAATAGCAAAACCAAAACCTACTTTCTAACTACTTCTTAAGCAGGTACTATTGAATGTTGTAGAAATACAGGAATTGCCAGTAGCATAGTTAACACCTTATTTCTGCTGGTATGACTGATGTCCTGATCAACTGAATAGTATTTGTGGAATGTTAGCTTTTAAGTGTTCAATAGTATGATCTGCAGTTTCTCCAGGAGGAATGAAAATAGTGTAAAAGGGTAATCTTAGTGTTTATTCAAGGAGAGTGTTTGTATTCATATTCTAGCTGAAATAACAGCTGAACATGGTACAGTTGAATTCCAGTAAAAATTGAAAACAGGACATAAGAAAGTGCTACAACTCTCTCTGTTTTATAACAGTTTGATCCTGAATTGGTCATTGTCTCCTCTGGATATGATTCTGGAATTGGTGACCCTGAAGTAAGTAACTTGTGGCCTTTCTGTTGTCAGTCATGAATCTATTCTCTTTAGTTGTTTACTACAACTAAACATGTAAAGACAGGTTATTCAATAGGCATAATTATGGTGGGTTTCTTTGCACCTTTAAAGCAGTTGGTTCAGCATTTTGTTAGATACAATGAAAGGCAAGTGTTCCAGGATTCCAGCTCAGGCTCGTGTATTTCAGATATTTTTTTACCAATGTTTTTGTTTCAGGGTTTCATCTCAAAGTGTTTTCTTTGATTTAGGGTCAGATGAATGCCACTCCCGAGGTTTTTGCCCACCTTACCCATTTCCTGATGCAGTTGGCTAATGGCAAGTTGTGTGTCATCCTAGAGGTAATGACCTGTAAAACATACTCCCAGGGGAAGGGTCTTTGTATTACAGCCATGTAAGGCAAGCTATAAACTAGGAAGTAAAACTTCTTAACAAAATAATTTATTCTTTTCATCTTTCTTTTGAGACTCAGGAATGCAAAAATGGCTAAGATTTGACAGTGCTGTTATATATGAAAAGAAATGTATGTCTTAAAAACTGGCTTGTTTTCTTTTTTTTCTTTTTTTTTTTTTTTAACTTAAAAAGGAGAATATGGTCATTGTTCAAAAAACCCATATCCTCCACAAGTATGTTCAGTTCTTGTGATCAGTGACTAGCCTGCTGTTCTGGACAGTCCCACGCTCATTAAAATGTATTTAGCGAATAAGCTGCTTTACCATTACAAGCATGTCTTACTCTAGGAGTGTTTAAAAAGCCCTTAACCTAAATATTCTCTTAGTAATGGAGCCTTAACTAAATTCCCTTTTTTTTTTTTTTTTTTTTTTTTTTTTTTTTTTTTTTTAAAACCCTCTTTGCA